ACTTAGCAAGCATGCAATATGCACCCGTACTTAGCAAGCATACAATATGCACCCGTACTTAGCAAGCATACAATATGCACCCGTACTTAGCAAGCATGCAATATGCACCCATACTTAGCAAGAATGCGATATGCACCCGTACTTAGCAAGCATGCAATATGCACCCATACTTAGCAAGCATGCAATATGCACCCGTACTTAGCAAGCATACAATATGCACCCGTACTTAGCAAGCATGCAATATGCACCCATACTTAGCAAGCATACAATATGCACCTATACTTAGCAAGCATAATCGGTGCACGATTATCGTGCCAAAAACAACGCTCAAAAGTGAAACCCTCCGCCACTACGTTTTTTGGAACTGCGTCAATACGAACACGGATAAAATGGGAAGCAGGCAGCATCTCTTCGCTGCACGCTCGTTTTCTTCTCCTTCTTCTTCGAACATCTGTTTCATCCTTTTACTACATCATACGAAGTAACCAAAAACCGTGTGTTCCGACCTTCACGAATAGTCTGTTCTAGTATGTGAACTTCATGCAACCCCGGCAGCTAGCTAGCACGCTACTATCGCTACAGTCAAACCGTGCGTTAGTGGCCACACCTGTACAGAACGGAAACATCTATAGAACGGACACATCTATAGAACGGACACCTCTATAGAACGGACACCTCTATAGAACGGACACCTCTATAGAACGGACACCTGTCTATACCAAACAATCCTGCCATTTCATTTTCCAGCAACATTTACCCAATGGAAAACACCTCTGCTTGACGGACACCTTTCTCTATAAGACACGTTTAGCATTTCTTTTCAGCGACAGTGACACAACAAAAACACATCCACTTAACAGACACCTGTCTACAAAGGACAATTTTCGTTCGAGCGACCTTCGCATGCAGGTACGACTGTGCACGTGACACGTACTTTCAGTATGGAGTTGATGGTAGAAGACTTGGCGTGCACGCGCGCGGGGACCGAGTCCCCATTACCCGGTCTGGTGCTCGCTACCGCTCCTCTCTCCACGTCAGAGACTGGGTGTTGCACCGCCCGGTCCTTCGCTCCACGCAAGCAAAAGTGCACCATGTCGGCAGCGGAATCCGATGCCGCTCGGTCCCTCTCTCCGCTCTTCTCCAAGAGAACTAAGTCCTGCCGCTCGGTCCCTCTCTCCGCTCTTCTCCAAGAGAACTAAGTCCACTGCGGAATCAAGCGCTGGTCGATCCCTCTCTCCGCTCTTCTCCAAAAGAACTAAGTCCGCTGCGGAATCAAGCGCCGCTCGGTCCCTCTCTCCGCTCTTCTCCAAAAGAACTAAGTCCGCTGCGGAATCGGGCGCCGCTCGGTCCCTCTCTCCGCTCCTGCTGACTAGATCTCTCGATCCCCGGTCTCTCTCTCCGCTCGCGTCGCGAGCCTCTCTCTTTCCAGAGTGGCGGCGGCGGCGGCGGCAAAACCCGCGCGTTGTCAGACAGCGAGACAATATCGACGACGATGGAGACGCCGTTCCGCGAGATGCCGCGAGACGCGAGCGAGACGGGTCGCGGAATCTCGAGCGAATTCGTGAATTTGCCACGGCAACGCAGTTGATGATGGATCCGGAGACCGCTGCGAATACCACGACTACTATCAGAGTGCTACCACTATTATTACTACTACTGACTACAGAGGCTGGGGGAGTTGTGTGACACAAGCGTGACTCACGAAGCTGCAAATCCTGGTTGAACTACAACTAACGCTGCTGCTGCTGCTGCTGCTACTACTGCTACTGCTGCTGCTGCTCCTGCTCCTGCTGCTG